GGCCATTTCAGAGGGCATTTAAGAGTCAATCACATAGCTACGGATCTGGAGTCACATGTGAGAACAGGTAAGGACAACAGATTTCTATATTGCTGCTGGATCACAATCCTCTCGCTACTCAAACTGTACTGTGAAAATGCCTTCATTATACGTACCACATTAGCTCAAGATGGCAACTCGTCATCACCAAATTTCAAATTCAAATTGTGATGTGCAATAAACACTGGCAGTGACACTGATGTTCAGATCTGAATGGATAAATGAAGCAAAAGATTTCTTTCTCTTCTGGGTATTCTGATTCAGCCTGAGAATGCCACATTTTATTGTTTGGTCATTTAGAACCAGACTATTCCTGAGAAAAGACACCTTCTGTCAGGACCATTCACAAGAAATGCCAAAATAAACAGAAAACTGTATTTATGATGTACAGGAAGAAGGTATTGAGTGGTTGGCAAGTAGACTAGGATTGAAAATGGTGTTGCCAATGACACCAACTATTTGGATTGGCAATTAACTACCAAGTTTTGTTCAAATTTTAAACGAGGCAGATTGCATTGAGCAATCAATGTCCTGTGACACGAACCAGAGAATATCTAGCACCTATTTGAAACTATATTTTGTTTTTTCATGGAACATGGGCATCGTTCGCTGGGCCAGTATTTATTGCCCATCCCTACTGGTCCTTGAGAAAGTGGTGGTGAGCTGCCTTCCTGAACTGCTGCAGTCCATGTGCTAGTTGAAATAGAAGCAGTATGTGTACATCTACTTTCTGGCTGCAAAAAAACAACAGGGCACTGTGTGGTAATACATTGAGCTTCTCTATGTACTTGAAGTTTGCTATACTGTGAATCTAACGGACAATCCCATCTTGGTTGTCAGCATAATTCTTTGTGCACTCAGGATTATTTATTACATACTGTCCAAACACCAAATCACATCTAATGTTAAACACTGATGTGAGCACTCTACAGTAGAAGTGTTGCTTTCCCTCTACTTTGGTACTCGTTACGAATTGTCCTGATGAGTACAAGATAAAACTATTTCACACAATGTTTTTTTTCCAATAATAACCCATGCAAAATGTATTTCTTTAAAAAAAAAATGCATCAATTGCCCTAAAAGCTGACTTGTTGCAACTCTATCCAGCCTAAATTCATGTGTGCTTTGGTGTGTCCTCAATCGCCCGTACTCATCCCTACCTTGTCCTTTTCTGCTTTCCAGACACCCTGCCCAGTAAATGGCAATTAAACTACACAGTTATCCATTATGTTCACATTTTCTACTGCAAGAAATGTAGAACATTGCAAAAGAAAAATTACGTTCATGCCGCTATGATATCCAGGGTGAAGGCAGTAGTCCTTAGTCCATCGGATTTCTTCAAATGTCAGTTCTTTTCCCACACAATTCAAACGTGCCCACTGTTTCGAGTGGTTATGATTCACCAGCTCATCCACCTGTCTAATTCTTCCTGGACCGTCTGCACACTTTCCTATCCTGAGTGCTCCACAAGCTGTCTATTGTCACCAAATATTTCTCAGTCTGCCTTGCAACTGACTGCCACTTGCAGTGTGTTTGGTTCACCTCCCCATTCTGAAATCTTCTGCACCCATTGATGTGAAAGTAGAGGAAAGTCAAAAAAAAAGGCTGGAGGCTTGGATTACTCCCCCCAGTATCTTGTGTCTTTCTGTAATTATCACCTGCTTAACCAATCCCAGATCACATTTGGAAGTACATTGGAGAGTGAAAGACAAAGTCCAAAGAAACAAACATTGGGACAAAATCACTCAAACACTAGTGATATTGGGTGGGGGTGGTGGGAGACAGAGAGAGAAAGAATGAGGGAGAGAAGTGAAGAAAGACAGAACATGTCAAACAAAAGCAATGGAAAAAGTGATCACTTAAAATTATATTGACAAAACATGAAAAATGTGAAATAGTCACGAAAGAAAAAAAGAGAAAGGATGGAAGACAAAGTCTAAGTGAGCAAGATAAAAATAAAGTGCAGGAAAGAAACATCAATGTAAAAGCATCAAGCTCCAGTTTTAACAGGGGTTCAATTCAAATGACTGAAATCATATGGTCCTAACCCCAGCAGCAATTAGTCAAGGAGACTTTACTTGCACCTCACCAGTCTCCTGTTTGCCAAGCGGCAGGAGGCCTCTGTGAGAAATTAGGATTGAAGGAACAGACAGAGGTACATGAAAATGTTGCTGGAAAGGGTTTGGGAGGACCTTTCACATCTGCTATTCCTGATCCCATAAAGAAGGACACAAAAGGCCTACTTCTGGCTCTGACTTCTCCTGATCGGTTGACCTGGTGGAGAAAGCAAATGTGCTTCTGCAAACAGAGACAGTCTGGTTCCAATTTAAACATCAGAACCCAATCTGCATACTTAGAAGAAATCCAATGAACTGCTGTTTAAATTCAAAATTTCCACAGGGATAATGGGAACTCAGTGAGTAAACCACACTATTCGATTTTACTTGCCTATTTTCAGACAGTTTGGAAGAGTTAAAAATGTCCATGTGATCATTTTAACAGAGGCTATATCATAATTAACTGTGTGCCATCCAAAATAAAAAACAACCTGTCTCCAACACATCTCGAGTAACACCAAAGACAATTGGTATCATCCTCTCCCAATTTATCCAAACTAATCATGGCTATACTATCTCCAGCAATGGCCTCTCTCCATGCCATTACTTCTAGAGTTCAATGGGATCTAACTTTTGCCCTTTTTCATCTTCAGCCATGTGCCCATGACAAGAGCAACAGAAGAGATGGGGTCAGGGCTCATGAACGTTTGCGTCATCTATCTCCCTTTTCCATTGACTTCTATCGCTTCTCTGTTATCAGAGTGATTATACAAAGTTCGGTCCTGGATAGGCCACATTTTCATCTAGTTAAATATTGAAAAAAAGTTGGTTTGCAATTTCTGCCACAAATGTTTGGCACCTATTCCATTCAGTTTATGGCCATATCTCAAGTTGAATCAGACCATTCACAACCTTGACACACGATTTGATCCAAGGCCAGATACATGCGCCTCCCTTTCATGCCCCATCATCACCTCTGCCTTGTCTTATTTGCTGCTAAAAATCTGAACCATGTCTTTGTCATTTACAGAATTGACAATTCCAATGCTCTCCTGATCAAGTTTCTGTATTCCATGAACATTATTTCATGTAACTGTCCTTTTTTCACCTTTGATGGGATGTGGACATGTTTGGCAACGCTAGCATATGTTGCCAATATACAATTGGAGTCCTTTGCTTGAGTAATTTTGGAGAGCAGCTAAGCATCAAATACACTGTCGGCGGGTGTGGGTCTGGAGTCACTTGCAAGTCAGAATGATTAAGAATGATAGGTTTCCTTCCCTAAAGGACATTACTGAACCAAATGGTTAAATATTGTTTCACGGTCACCATTGTTGAGACGAGCTTTCAGTTCCAAGTCTTATTGAATTCAAAATTCCACCAGCTCGCATAGCAGCCCAGAGCACTCCTAAAAACATAGCCTGTGTTTCTGTATCACTGGCCCAGTGATATTACCGCTAAGCCACTGTCTCCAGTTCTTTTTATTCACCATCCCTACTTTTGTTGACCTACATTGGCCCCTAGTTCCTCATATTTCAATTCCAACATCTCATCCTTGTATTCAAAACCCTTCATGGTCTTACTCATTCCTATCTCTGTAAACCCCTCCTGACTAACATCACTTTAAGAGCTACCCATGCGTCAAATCCAGGTTTCCTATGCCTCTCACGATGGCTGTGCTTTCAGCTGTTTTGACTGAGCTCTGGGACTTCCTCTCTAAACTTTCATGCCTATGCCTCTAATTCTTTCAGGACTTTTTTAAAACCCTACTCTTTGGGCAAGCCTTTTGTCAGTTTAGCTTGGTTTCTCTGACTACACTTCTTTGAAGTGCTTTTGAACATCTTTATATAACAAAAGATAATAAAAGCAAATGTTGCCATCTGTCAATACTGCTCAAAATTGTACCAATATAGTTTTGCAAAACATAAATTACTGAAATAGTAAAAAAAAAATGACATTCTGAAAGATCAGTTTATGCTACAGAATCAGAGGCATGCCTGGTAAATTAGCTAAACACTATATATCTACCCATCAAGTTCAGTGTGTTTGTAGATGAGTATGTGTACCCTAAAACTGATCAGCTGTCATCCAACAGAAACTCAAGCCATGAGCTGAGTAGTCACATTTTGCCTTGAACATCAGCTAAACTGGAACAGCTGTGAGAAACATATGGCACTGACATGGAAGAGAAGCTGCTGGGTTTGTTGAGACCCTGATCAAAGTGATTGATGTTGGATTATAACGCACAAATTCACCAACGATGCTTCTGAGGAAAGAACGCATCAGACCTAAACACAAAATGGACTAACAAATAACATATGCAATAATATCTGCATTTCCCTCAGGGCATTTTAAAATATTCCTTGGAACTCATCTTTTGATCATTTTTATAGTAATAAGTGTAGGACTGTGCAACAAAAAAAACATATCTTACACAAATTCTACTTTATTGGATAACCTCTATACAATAATCATGAGGTTTATTAAAAGTCAATCATAATGTAGGCTTACCTTTTGTACAAAGGCATCGTATTTTAAAAGTACAATGAATAAGAGTCGAAAGTTAGGTTAATCAAAATTTATAAATAATTATTGAAGTGTTCAGTCTTGATTCTTTTAACTCTATTACATTTCATCATTTGTCACCTATAATAACATGTCTTTACCACCATACCCCAGATTTTCTTTAAGAGTCCAAATTTACTTATGCTGTAACCTGCTATTTTTTTCAGGTTCAGTGATCTTTGAAATGTTAATTTAATAACATTACATGTGAATTTAGTCCAATTTGCTCTTCCCATGGCAATTATTTTCTTGATCACAAAATAGAGAGAGAGGTGGGGGTGGAAAGACAATTCAGAATCTAAAGTTAAGATGTATAATGTGATGAGACTCCAATCTTACCTCCCTCCCTCTTGAAGTTTATTTTTAGAATGTTGGACTTTGTATGGGAGTCCTGATTCAGAAGAACTGCAATGAAAAATTTGAAAGTAAAAGTTGAACTCTCATCTCCACATAATACTACAATAATTTATAAGGGATAATATTAAATAAATACTGATGGCAGAAATGTTGAGGAGAATTCTTTCATGGGAAGTGAACACTTGTTCATTCCAAAATGCCCATGACAGGGGCACTTATTTTATAACACACTGGATTTTAATTATTCATTGCCTTCAATAGAAGGTAAACACAGAACATGTTAAAACAGATTTTTAAAAATTCTTTTATGGGCTACAGCTTTCATGTCTGTTTGAAGTGAGAAGATCGTGAAGCACCACCTCCTTGAACTGCTGTTTTTCATGTGGCTTAGTTACAACCATAGTGCTGTTTGAAGGAATGTTGCAGGTTTTTGACTCAACGACTAAATTAATGGTGATACCAAACAAGTCAGGATGGTGAGAGATTCAGAGAGGACTCGCAGGTTGTGGTGTTCCCACGTGTCTGTTGCTCTTGTCCTTCTAGTTTATAAAGGTAGCAGGTTTCAAAATCAAAGGCACAGGTAAAGGGTCGAACTCCTGACATGTGTGAAGTCAGATCACATGGAACTTGAGTCTCAGTCTACAGGGCTCCTAATAAGACCCCCTCTTACCATCCTCTGTATGCACTTTTTTCAATAAAGACTTTAGCTGTTCACTTAAGGATGTGGATCTCACATTACTACACGGTGGCAATGATGACTAGACACACAAAACCAGAAGTGGGAAGAGCCTAAATTGAAAAGCAGCAAAGGTAAACCATGAGCCAAGCCAGCTGCCTAAACTCAGAAGTGGGGATCATACCTGGTGAATCTCAGCAATGGTTGGCACTAGCAATGACTTCAAGGTGTACCTGGATATCAAACGAGGGAATTGCAAAGCTTTTACAGAAGCTGAACAAAGTGCGGGTGAACAAAGTCCCATAGCAGAAAGCAGTTAGCAACCGAGAAATCAATTAACCAACTGTAAGTAAAATATTACAGTGGAGAAACTCTTAGAGATGGGGAAGAAAGAAGCACTCAGAAAAAAAGATTAATGGCAAGCACGTAAAGAAACACAATGCTATCCAAGTCATAAAGGAATTTCAGCAGTTAACCCCACTTAGCCAGTGTTACAGAGATTCTCAAGTGGAAAGAGAAAGTCAGTCAGAGGTAAAGCTGCAATGGCTGCACAGGAAGTCAAGCATAAAGTCTCAGTAGTACAGGATTTAGAGGGGCTGTATTTACTCCTTCTATGGGATATGGTAGGCCCACTCAGAATTCGATTTCCTGGACAGTACATGATTACAAGATGATTTTTTGCTGGAAGCATTTAAATAAATAGCAGAAAACCTACTTTCAAATTGGATATCAGAGCAGATGTTTTAATCTTTTCAGATTTTAAGCCATAATTGAGACCAAGAATCCTCAGACTATCTTCCATTAAACTTTGAGGCCTGGGACTACAACAATTCAAGTAAGAAGCCATACAAATGCTACACTTTGTTGCAACAGAAAAGGCTGCAAAATGTGCATCATTCATAACGAACACAACTACTTATTAAGTGCAGTTGCTTATATAGTTTTCCGTACCCTTCCATTAGCAGACTATAAGGATTCATCAGTCCTACTATTGCAAGACAGTATCTCCTTTTCTTTCAAGACAAAAACTATAAATGGTAGGAAAAGGTGGACCAAAGATGCCACCAGAGGATGTTCCAAGTGTGTTCTGAATATGGTTGCAGGCAAGGAAACCGACAGACAAGTTATTCATTTAGTATAATTTGAAATTATTGAACTTTTCTGTATTTTTGCATTTATGAGCAAGAGATAAACCAGTAGTAAAATCGTCTACCAATAGCACAAAGTCTGCTTTGGAAATGCAGCAACAGAATCTGCAGACACAGTTAACTGAAATAGTGGATGCATGGGTGGTCATCTTCCAAGATTCTATAGACTCTGGAACAGTCACTGCAGATTGAGGTGACATTAGCCACTCTCTAATACTCAAAAAGGGGATAGAGAGAAAACAGGGAATTATTGTGAAGGATTTTATAGCAGAGCATTTAGATAGCAGTGTCAGGATCAGACAGAGTCAGCATGGATTTATGAAGGGGAAATCATGCTTTACAAATCTATTGGAATTGTATGAAGATGTAACTAGTAGAGTTGAAAAGGGGAAGCCAGTCAATGTAGTATATTTGGATTTTCAGAAAGCATTTGACAAAGTCCCACATAAGAGATTAATGTGCAAGATTAAAGTGCATGGGATGGGGGGGAAAAGTGTACTGAGATAGATAGGAAACTGTTTGGCAGAGAGGAAACAAAGAGTAGGATCAGATTTTGAAGCTTGTGAAGTCCACATTGATACCATTGGGCTCGAAACGTCAGCTTTCCTGCCCCTCTGATGCTGCTTGGCCTGCTGTGTTCATCCAGCTCTACACCTTGTTATCTTAGTAGGAATTAATGGATCCTTTTCAAATTAAGCAGGCAGTGACTAGTGGGGTGCCACAGGGATCAGTGCTGGGATCCCAACTATTCATAATATATATTAATAATTTGGATGCGGGAACAAAATGTAACATCTCCAAGTTTGTAGATGATACTAAGTTGGGTGGGAGGGTGAACTGTGATGAGGATACCGAGATCCTTCAGTACGATCTTGACAGGTTGGGGCAAATCAATGGCAGATGCAGTATAATTTGGATAAATGTGAGGTTATTCACCTTGGAAGCAAAAACAGGAAGGCAGATTACTACTGAATGTCTGTAAATTGGGAGAGGGGAGTGTGCAGTGGGACCTGGGTGTCCTTGTGCACCAGTTGCTGAAGATAAGCATGCAGGCGGTAAAGAAGGCAAATGGTACGTTGGCCTTCATTGCAAGAGGTTTTGAGAGGAATGAGGATGTGTTGTTGCAGTTATCCAGGGCCTTGGTGAGGCCTCAGCTAGAATACTATGCACGGTTTTGATCTCCTTTTCTGAGAAAGGATGCCCTTGCTCTCGAGGGAGTGAAGCGAAAGTTTACCAGGCTGATTCCGGGGATGACGGGACTGACATATGAGGAGAGATTAACTAGCTTGGGATTATTTTCGCTGGAGTTCAGACAAATGAGGGGAGACCTCATAGAAACTTATAAAATTCTAACAGGACTGGACAAGGTAGATGCAGGGAGGATGTTCCCAATGGTGGGTGTGTCCAGAACCAGGGGTCACAGTCTGAGGATTCGGGATAGACCATTTAGGACGGAAATGAGAAGATATTTCTTCACCCAAAGAATGGTGAACTTGTAGAATTCATTACCACAGGAAGTAGTTGATGCCAAAACATTGAATGTATTCAAGAGGAGACTAGATATAGCACTTGGGGCGAATAGAATCAAAGGATTGGAATAGAAAGAAAAGTTAGGCTATTGAGTTGGACGATCAGCCATGATCACGATGAATGATGGAGCAGGCTTGAAGGGCCAAATGGCCTCCTCCTGCTCCTATCTTCTATGTTTCTTGAAGAGATTTCACCAAGAATAAATAGCCAGGCCAATGGCAACAAGCAACAAAGTTACCCTACGTTGGTTCAATCAGTATTAAAAGCAAGTGAAACTTCAGAAAATGGGTGCATCAAGAAATGCAGAGCTAGAAATATTTCCTCAATCTTGCAAAGAACACATCTCTGATCTTTCAAACAAATTCACGGCCATTGAAGCTCCAGTCAGGGCAGACAGTACCTCAGCTGCAGAGGCCTACTTATTTAAACAATTCTTTATGAACACCGGCAGAGAATATCACGTAAGCTCAACATGTTTAAAGAAAATTTTCAATCATAAAGGCCCAAGAAGTAGTAAAACAACTTCAAGTAGTGAAAAAATTTATCCTAGGAGAGAGATCTTTAAGTTCAACTAGTGAGTACAATCGCTAAAAAGAGAGCAAAAGATTTTAACTAATACATAGTTATGAAGGGTACATAAGTTGTATAGGTAACATTTTTGGAGTTTGGGTTTCAAAGTGGAGGCAGATGGTTACATACGTGGAGAGTTTATTTTAGGAAAAAAGGTCCAAGAATCCATCTGGAATAGTGACGAAATTCAGCATTTGACAGACAGCAGGTGACCCGTTATTAATTGAAAGATAATTATACTGTTGTGTTTATGACAGGTAGGATAAATATCAGCTTAGTTTTCAGTTCAGAAGAATTGAATTTAGTCAAGATTTTTTTTTAAAACTCAGTTCACAAAGTATCAGAGCAAAGTGCAGAAGCAAGTTTAGTTTCAATCCTAGGAGCTCAGAGACCCATTACCCAAGGAGAAGGGTCTGGTTTGTAAATCTGCCAAATCAGTGGAGAGATTGGTTAGAAATCTGCAAGTTATTATAACTAAGAAAGTTTAGGCTCTCAGATTTGTGAAAAGTTTATGTCAGCAGATTTATAAAGAACTCATCAGATTGTCTCCACAATCCTCAGCAAATAAACTGTCAGGAGTCAGTAAAGTCAAGCCCTGAAGTGTTGAGATAGGAGTGTAATTTCTCTGGACTTGAGTCTCTGTAATTGAGTGCCGAGATGCAGGTTGAGACTCAGTTTTGCTGTGTTTTGCAATCTTTCTAACTGTCTTCTTTAGTTTGATAGCTGAGCTTTTTCCCCCTTCAGTTATTATATAAAAAAACCTGTAGAATTGTGTGAATATGGTTCAGTGACTAACTACCAGATAGATAAGAAAAGAAAAAAAAGTCATATTAAGTTTAAGATTTCATTCTGCGCTCCGACTTATCCAGTAGTACCATTAGAAGGGGTCACAACCATAGTCTTATGTTTTTAAATTATATTAAGCTAACTCCATTTTTTCATTCACTGCATTGGTAAATATGATAGACTCTACACAAAGGTATAATGGTACGTTATATAGATATGGCTCCCATAAACTTCTATTGCACGAGATATCTAATAAAATATACATCATTAGCACACATATCAAAAATGATGCAACCAATAGCACACAGTTGCACATTCTTTGTTAATTATGCTAATTC